ATATGAGAGCTTTCTGTCCCTCCAAAGATTAACGTCATTGTGACTTTTAAGGCCCAGAAAGGTAGTAAAGACACTGTTAAAATAGTCCATGTGACTACAGTAGTTCAACCTTAATGTTATGAAGCGACGAGAATAGTATTTGTGTGAAAAAACCCCGCCAAATAACGACATTATTCAACAATCTCTTTCTCTTCAACGTCATTCTCCTACGCTGTTGATCTAGTGTAAACAGCGCAGCGCTTCTGGGTTCTACATCAGAACGTAGGCTTATTATTGGCCGACGCTGGTCATGTGTGATGCTGGCCAATAATAAGCCTACATTCTGACATAGAACCTAGAAGCACTGTGCTGTTTACACTATCGTCAACAGTGTAGGAGAATGACGTGGAAGAGAAGAGATTGTTGAATGTAGTTTGTAGCGAGCAGGACGAGGCAGAGGGCCGTGAGAGAGCGGCGCTAGGCCGCTGGCGTGATTGCTGATGAGCGACACCTGTGAGACGCACCGGTCTCGTATCTCTCACGGAGGAGCAGAGGCATAAAGGAGGAGCGACGACAGTAGAGATCGAGAGAGGCCAGGCCTGGATTTTATGTTGTTATGTGTGGCCAGCAGTCATCCTCGAGGGGCAGCTGGCTTATACTTTCGTTTTGTATTTGTTTTATTTTAGGTTATTAAACTTGTTGAATGTTCGGCGGTTCACGCCTCCTTCTTCCCATAACAACTGAACCTCGTTACATCGTTATTTGGGGGTTTTTTTGCACATAAAAAGTATTCTCGTCGCTTCATAATATTAAGGTTGAAATACTGTAATCACATGGATAACAATGTTTTTACTAGTTTTCTGGGCCTGGAAAGTTTCAATGACGTTGCGTTCAATGGAGGGAGAGAAAGCTGTCTGATTTTATCAAAAATATCTTTATTTGTGTTCCAAAGATGAACGAAGGTCTTACGGGTTTAAAACGGCATGAGGGAGAGTAAATACTAACAGAATTATCATTTTTGGGTGAACTAACCCTTTAACTTGCTCATGAACTAATGGGCTGATAATTTTAAACAAGTGGCTTAGTTTCCCTTTTATTTGTCTATCAACTAATCTAATTCCACTGTCATAAACAAATTTAATCTAATGCCAAACATCGTTAATCTTGCACATTTCATTACTCAAGAGATTTTTCAGAGATTGCCGTTTTGGTGGGAGTTTGTTCTGTCCCAAACCAAGTGTTTTTCATGTCTTTTGTGTAATCCAAATTTAAAGCATAAGACAGACCTAAATAGATGCAAATTGCATGATTCTGCAGATTATTACAATACCTCTCTCAACAATGATGGCAGTAGACACTGGGCAAAGGTAGAGAGAGAGATGCTTCTTCATCAATGACAGTCAGCACCCCAACAGATACTTGTGCCCAGGCTTCATCAACATCACAAACCTGAATGAAACCAAACAATAAAAATATTACAACAGGGAAAAGTGAAAAGGCATGATTAATTGTCAGTTATCTGTCCTGCATACATGTGTGTATTGCTCATGCATGAGCAGCCAGTTGTTATCCTTTGAACAAATCGATAAGATTTAGTAAATACAAAATATTATTTTTATATTATTATATATAAATATTATTACAAAAAGCGCTCATGTTGCTTCATGAAATGAGCTTAAACCACTGGAGACACATGAGCTAATGATTTCTTTCATTGCTGCCTATTGAGGAACAGAAAGGACTTGGATTTTATTAAAAGTATCATAATTTTTTATCTGAAGATGGAAAAAAGTGTCATAATAATAAAAAATTAAGGCTGCAGGAAACTGACCCCTGTATTAATTTGCTGCATAAGATCATCAAATTTCTCTCCAATGCTTCTTGAAGACTTGTGACAAAACGTGGTGTGTAGCGATCCACAGCACCATAAAAGTTACTCTGCAGTCTGCAGATCTGTGGTGACTATCCTGTCAAACTCTGCAAACACCTACAACACAGGCACACAAAAAAAGGCATGGGACAGTGTGGAAATTTTTTAATGCATGGTCATTAAAAAGGGTCAATCCTAAAGCCAAACCTAAACAGAATGTGGTTTCTCATGGTGGAAAAAGGGATATGAATAAGTTCTTACTGGTCTCTCTGTAAAAAGAGCTGGCCACTGCTCCATCTGCATCCACAATCTCACGTCTTCGCATTGAGAAGGTCTGGTCCATCTTTGATGCAATCAGAGGTTCCACTAGTCTAGGATAACATCACTTAACATTACTAAGTTTCTCATCTTGTTAAAAGATGGCTAATTTTATCAGCAGTGATAAAGCAGTTGAGTTTGAGTAAAGAAAATCACTTTTACCAGTGCTTGCATTCCATTCTTAATGTACTCAATTTAAAAAATAAAAGTATAATGCTATTGTGAATTCATAAATACTGTCACAAATCATCACAAACTTAATCTCTGCATAAACTGCAGGTTAACGTTACATTTAACTGTAAATGTGCGCCATTTCACACGATTTGTAACCTTAATCATTTATAAACCAATGCCAACAGAGGAGAATGCATCAGTGAAAATGCATCGGTTTTAAATTTGGGAACAATAAATAGCTTTTCAGGCATTCCAGGAACTGTTATGCCTAACCATATTCTTCAAGCTCCGAATATCACAATTATTTGGCACACATTAAGGAGATCAGTAAAGATTAGCGACAGACAGTAAAAAAAAAACATTCACACAAAAGTCGCATGCTTTATTACTCACCTTATTATCATCTCATATTATTATTCCAAAAATGTAGCGAGGCTCCAGATAAAAATGTAGGCAGTCTCCAGTCTGTCAACGTCTTTCCACATCTTCAAAATTGGCGCTGAAATACACAGAATCTATCGCGCATGCTCTCACAAGTGCAGCTTCTTCTTCTTTGTTTTTTCGGCACATTAGGCACGCTTTAATGCACTGCTGCCTCTCACTGGTTTAGTAACGCCATTGCATCATTTGTTGCTACTTGCTTGTATCAAGTAAGCGTCACTCAAATTATTGAGTAACTTGTTATTTTCACCCTGCAATTGACCGTAACTCAACAAAACCTAGTAAGAAGTATGTATTTTATATAACGGAGTAAAGTTAACTAATATATGTGAGTCAGGAACGCTATTGGATTTTACAGTGTAGAAGGAAAAATGGATAGGGCAAAATACCGTCAAAGTTGTCAATGGGAAGAAGGTTTACCTTCCAACATGACAACCCTGAGCACACAACAAAAGGTAAATGTCCTTGCATGGCCTAGTCAGAGCCCAGACTTAAACCCCATTGAAAATCTGTGGAATGACTTGAAGACTGCAGTCCACAAACGGTCACCATCATATTTAACTGAACTTGAGCAGTTCTGCAAAGAAGAGTGGGCTGGGAAAATATTGCAAAGTTAGTGAGAGATATATCCGAACAGACTAAAGGCTGTAATTAAACCAGAGGTGGTTCAACAAAATACTTACACAAGGGGTTAATCCTTTTTTCTTCTTCTTTTTTTCTGACATGTTGGTGCTATATCTTTCACTGAAAAATGTGCTGTTGTACCCAATACTGGTATGCAGTATTTTATTTTTAGTTATTTTATACTCATTCAAATATTGTGTTGTTAGCTTAGCATTATGCTAACATGAAACTGTATTGGAATTAGTTCTTTTAATCAGCCTAAGCTCATTCGAATAGTGTGTTGTTAGCTTAGCAATATGCTAACATGAAACTGTATTGGAATTAGCTCTTTTAATCAGCCTAAGCTCTTTTGAATAGTGTGTTGTTAGCTTAGCAATATGCTAACATGAAACTGTATTGGAATTAGCTCTTTTAATCAGCCTAAGCTGGTCTTAGCATACTATCATCTGAAAAATATTGCAAGAATTAGATGCTTTGTTTCCAATCAAGACTTAGAGAAACTTGTGCATGCTTTTATCACCAGCAGGGTGGATTATTGTAATGGACTCCTCACTGGCCTTCCTAAAAAGACCATAAGACAGTTGCAGCTCATACAGAACGCTGCTGCCAGGATCCTGAGCAGAACCAGAAAATATGAACACATCACACCAGTCCTCAGGTCTCTACACTGGCTCCCAGTTACATTTAGGATTGACTTTAAAGTATTATTACTGGTATATAAATCTTTTAATGGGCTAGGACCTCAATATATTGCAGATATGCTCACTGAATATAAACCTAACAGATCTCTCAGATCATTAGGATCACATCAGCTAGAAATACCAAGGGTTCACTCTAAGCAAGGAGAGTCTGCTTTTAGCTAGTATGCCAGCCGCAGCTGGAACCAGCTTCCAGAAGAGATCAGATGTGCTCCTACAGTAGTCACTTTCAAATCCAGACTCAAAACACATCTGTTTAGCTATGAATGAGCACTGTGCCACTGTTGTCCGACTGTTTTTACTGTACTTTATTTTTTATTCTAAACTGTTTTAATTATTCTTATTTGTTTTGATTATTTTAATTTCTTCTATGTAAAGCACTTTGAATTACCGTTGTGTATGAAATGTGCTATATAAATAAACTTGCCTTGCCTTGCCTTGCCTTAGCTGGGCTGTTTGCAGGATTTAAGACCATGAAACCTTGTAAGATCAGTTCAGGCTGGTTAAAACAGTTTTACAGCAGTAGTAAGCCTCTGTGTCTACTTGAATGCTATTATGCAGTTGCTGCCTAGAGCATTCCTAGTCAGTTTCAGTTTGGATGCTCCCTTTGAAGGCACCTGCCTTTGTTTGGAGACAGAGTTGCTGAAGAAGATTTGATGCTTACTATTCTAATAAACAATATGAATAAGTTGCTTCCTGGCTTTCTGGCAGCACGCTCGCCAGTCTCAGAATTAGCAAAGCAATACATTTTAGATAATTAAATGTATTTTATCTGGAAGAGCGACACCGATTTGAAATGCAGTTTCTTCATTATGTGATGCCCTCCTGATGTTTTCATAGACTCACCGCACCTGTCCTGTCTCTGTGTGTGTGTGTGTGTGTTTGCATCATGGCAGGTGTTACACGTTCGGCATAGGTCAGGGTGCGTGCAGGAGGCTGGTTTTAGGACTGTCTGCTGTTTCCAGAGGCACAGCTGAGTTTCTGGCAGAAGGGGAACGACTGCAGCCCAAGGTCCTCGTTTCCTCTGACGTGTTTATCTTCCACCACAACAGCCTGTTATTTTGAATGTCACCGCAAAGCAATTACAGCATGTGGAGTGCCCAAATGTATTAGCAATTAACAATTTGTTTTGTTTAATCAAACCTAAATTAGGATAATAATCAAAGCTGACAGCACATTTCACGTTTGTTCCTTCTCTCCCTGCTGTTTAAGACTAGCATCTATATATTTTCCTGTTTTATTTATATAGAGTATATTTACAGACCGTGCTCCCTTGATTAAGTTCACTAGGTGGTATTTGAGCTGGCTGTTATTTGTGTCATTGGCAGATGATTAAGTCGCTGAAGAAGTCCATGACATCCGTTCTGACTGACATCTCCATTGAGTGGCTGTATCCAGAGACGAAAGAGATCCTGCTCTCTCCAGTGGGAGCGACCTGTCTGTTCCCCGGTGACCGGCTGATTGGGTACAGTGTGGTGTGTGATACCTCCCGATATCACTCCAACCCTAAATCAGTAGGTTATCCGTCCATAATTAGTCAATTAGATTTTGATATTATCATTTAGATAATATTGATATTTTAAAATATACTGTATTTTGACCATAATACAATATATTTTGATTATTACAGACACAAACCACAACAAATCTAAAACATCAATAATAATAATATTTTTATTATTATTATTATTATTTTTTATTATTATTATGATTTAGATAGATCATTTGTATTATTTTGAAACATACTCTATTTTGATATGTTATAATAACAAATATACACTAAAAAACACAGCAACGGTTAAAATGTAATTATTATACTATATTTTTATACTACGATTAATAATAATAATTATTATTATTTTGATAATATTGTTATTATGTTAAATTACTATATAATATGAAATATACAATCTGTGATTTAAAAAACAAATTATACCACTATTAATAACAATAATTATTATTATTATTTTCATTATTTTGATAATCTTATTTTAAAATATAATCTATTTTGATATAATATTGAATATACACAAAACAGATTATTATTATTATTAAGATAGATAATATTAATAATTTAAAATATACTGTATTTTGTTTGGTTTATATTCAATATTGTATTAAAATACAGTATATTTTAAATTATTAATATTACCTATCTAAATAATAGTTTTGTGTACATTTAATATTATATCAAAATACAGTATATTTTAGTATTTAGTGTATTAATTAATTAGATTAACCGTTGCTGTTTTAATTGTATATTTGATATTAAAATATCACAATTTTATATATTTTAATACTAATAACAATATTGTCTATTTAAATAATAGTAATAATCTGTTTTGTGTATATTCAATATTTAGATAGATGATATTGATATTATTTTAAAATATATTAAACATTTTGATATATTAATATCAAATTCACCAAAACAACAACAGTTTTGTTAATAATAATACAAAAATATCTATCTATATATATAAATATAAATATAATTGTTATAGTTTTTAGCATATAATGTTTGTTCATGTAAATATAGATTTTAGGCCGAAATAAAAATCTCCCACCTTCTAAACATCTTTTCTCTGTTGTCACAGGACAAACGGAGACGGTACAGCATGATGCGTTCCAACGAGTCCACCAGTTCTGTGTTCTATCACTCTCAAGAGGAGGATGCTGGGAAGGTTTACTGTGACGCTCAGGGGCCACACAGGGACAATCAAGTCGGCTCGCTGTTTGACGGTTGCCAAGAGACCATGTCTGAGAGCAGTCCTATTGCCACGGAGCAAGACGTTATGGGTAAAGTACAGCACTATATGCAGTAAAATGGTTCCATACGGTTTCATACGACTTGAGTGTTACAGAATTTTCATTTTTGGATGAACTATTCTTTAAAGTCTCCTGATGAAAGAGAATAAATGAATATAGTCAGCAAAGAGAAAATGAAAGAGAAAATGTGTTAAATTAGTTTTTTCTTCTTCTTTTGTACAGGAACTGACACGAGCACCTCTCCGAGAAGACGTGCTTATAGCACCAATCAGATCATAGATTACAACCCCATGAAGAAGGCCTACACCCCCAGTGACCCCAGCTCCGTGGTGGGGAAAAACCCTCTTAGACGAGCAAAAGTCCAGGAGCTCATCGGTCAGACTCATCCTGACTACGGAGCTCAGTGGAAAATGGACTACCAGGTAGGTCAATGCTACAGCATAAGTCCTGAAGCATGTGCTATGCAAATATATGAACGCAAAGCTTCTTGCTATGCGAGTTTGATTTTGTGTGCCATTGCATTGAAACATGTGTCTATAGCATTAGCATTGGGGAAGCTACTGTGAAAAGTAATTTTAACAATTTAAAGTAGTCAAACTACAGTACACTACAAACAATTTGCTATGTACAAAGTATTTGCTAAAAAATTTGCTAAGTACACTCAAGTTTCATAGGTTACTTAAAAATATAGTCCAATTTAATCAGATCTGATTTTTTAAATGAGGGGGTTTGTATTAATGAACACACAATTAGGAACTTGAACAGGCAAATTTATACTAAGTACAACCAAAACACCCTGATCGTTTGAATTTTAGCGATTTCTATTCTGCTTATCGATTCAAATTCTTATCAATTGCCAGTTTCGATTCCAATAAGGTAGAATCATTTATATCAAACATGTTTATTCTGTGTCTTTTGACAAAAAAAAAAATCAGCAGCCTAAAGAACACTAACATTTTCCTATGGTTTCAACAAAAATACCACAGAAAAAACAACTGGACTAACTAATATAAAATTCAAACTTTATTGAAGACAAGTAAACAGTGATAAATGTAAAGGCCCTTTTACGCCAGATGTGGAATGAATAAGCCATAGGTTGAAGGAAATGCAAATTTACACTTGTACAGTAAGGGGACGCAACTCAAACAAACCTTTCAACTAATGCAGGAAAAGAAACTCTTACTTTAGTAATAAAAATAAAAACAAATGAAAAACAAATGTGATGTTTATGTAAAGTCATATTTGTTTATTAAAATGGTTGAATTGGATCCTCAAAGGTCAGCTCCAAAGACATTGGTCAATAAAGTGAGATTAAATACATAAAGTATTTGCATCTTCTCCCGATTTTCTCTCAATATGGGGACAGGTGAGGTGCATTCAATAAACGGGAAAACAAAGTAACTTGAGTTACTTATTATTTGAAAAAGTAACTTGTAAATTCAAAAGTAATGCGTTACTTTACTGGTTACTTGAAAAAAGTAATCTGATTACATACTGTAACTCGCGTTAACCGTACCCCCAACACTGCTTATAATAGACATCCTGAGTATGCTATAAACATTATTCTTGGAAATCATCTGTAATCTCCTTTGTGCATGTGTGTTTTGACACAAAGCAGACGGTTTATTGTTTTCTTTAGAAGAAATATCTGTAGGCAGCCGTCTTCATGCCATCTGCTATAGCCGAAGCATCTGCTATGATATAAAAAGAGCCCCATGGATTCATTTGTTCATTCTGAAGGGTTATTTGAACTCATTTCTGAGCTCGGTGATGAGAATGTAATTCATAATTCAATGTTCTTACCGCCACATCCACACAAATAGAATTTAGATGGAACAGCCAGTGGAAGATGAATTACAGTTTCCCGGACATTTAAGCAGCGGAAGAATGTGGAAAAAAGGAAAAATGCTTTCTTAGAAATGAGGTGGACACTTTGGTAATGTGCACCCACACACTGAAATAGAAATGCACCTTTGAAGTGCAGTGGGAGAATAAAAGGTTGTGGCCCATCACCAAAGACGTGCCAGTGTTTGAACAGGGCTGAAATAATGAGGCCAAAAATATCCCTGACCTAGAGACAGATTAGTATGTAATCAATACCACAACGGAGAGGTGTGCATCCTTTGTGTCTCATAATGATGGCCGTACTCATTTCATGCATGACAATTGAGCTGAACGGCCAAGGAAAACCCTTTCTATTCACAGCAGGCCTTCTGATGAGACTTAAAGATGCTTGTATGATCCTGATATGTCGGCTATCCTAATAGACTACAGTACTTTTATTGCTCTTCGTTTATTCATTTAAGCATTGCACAACATTTTGGGTACCCTGTAACATTTTTGTGAGGTACCTAAAATGTGTACTTTAAGTTAAACTGGTTTTATTCAAGTCAAAAATATTATTTATTATTTATTTAATATTATTGACATTTAAATAATATAAATAATTCAATATTTTTTAAATACCATTTAACAAGCAACATTTTTTCATGTTGGTAATCGTATTCCTCAAGCCAGTAATAATAGTATTTATTATTTAAATATGAACATATATTTGAATTATATAAACATATTTAACTATTATTTAATAAGCATTATGTTTCAATGTTAGTAATTGCATTCCTCAACATTTTGGGTACCCTGTAACATTTTTGTCAGGTTTCCTAAAAATGTGCTTCATGTGGTAACACAAGTTTAACTGGGTTTATTAAAGTCATAAATATCACTATTTAATGTTTAATTAAATACCACTACTGATTTGTTTTCTGAGAGTGTTGCTGGCAACTTTTTACTGCTTCTATTTCATGACTTGGGATTCAGTGAGTTCAGTGATACTCCCGCATTGCCGACACCCTGCCAAGAGACATATCGAACACCCAGCCACTTATGTTCATCTTCCAGGGTACAATTAGTTCTGACAACTGTGACAAAACCCTTGATGGCCATGATAAAATTTCCAATGTCACACTCTCTGAATGTGGAGAAGATATCAATAATCCAGGCGACACTTTGCACTGCAAGCAATTGGCCATGGAAGTTTGATCAAAAAGGGAGGGAGTTATATTACAGATGGGCAATAAGAGTCCTTGATTTCCCCTCAATGGATGCAATAATGACTTTAATGATGCTTATTACTGTTGCTCTTAACAGGCATACATTTCTCATTATCCAAATTGCCTTTAGACCCAGGTAAACAGAGAGCCATGGCTATAGGAGCTGGCATGGTTAAGGCGTCTCAAAGAATCATTGTGTTCATAAACTCCCTCTACACAAGGTGAAATAAATTGGATTTCCTTTTGCTATGCGCTGCATTCATGCTGGAAATTACCGGGGGAAACTGGATGCTCAATGTGAGCATAGAAACACAATCAGACTTGTCAGCATTGGCGTCAACATTAGCACCACTACTTTGGCATTGTGATATTTTTCATAAGCTCAAGAAACATACAAAACAGCTGTTTTCATTGACCACTGGACCTGAAGCTGTCCTAATGCCAAGTAGGTAATTTTTTTTTATTTAAAACTGGTAAAATAATAATATTAATTTTATATATTTATTGTTATTAATTTAAATATTTAATTTGAAACAGTTATTCAAGTCAAAATATAATTATTTAATATTTCAATATTATTATTTAAATGTTGACATATTTAAATAATATTTATTTATTATACATTTTTATTTTAATATTTTTGACAATCTTTATTTAAATATGGTAATATTTAAATAGATTTAAATGTTACCATATTTAAATAATAGTATTTACATTTTAATATTGTGTATATTCTTTTTTTTTTAATATGCCTATTTTTATTATCATTTAATATACCTATATTTATAATTAAGTTATGACTGATAAATGTTTGATATTATAAATGTATATTATATTTGTGTGTGTGGTCTGAAGATTTCAAAGTAAAAAGTCAAATGAATAAAGATTGTTGTACTTTTCCCAATAAATTTACGGTAAAACTTTACTTAAAGCCTTTACATATAATGCATTCTAAAAGTATTTTTAAAGCATTAATTATGCCTTGTAATGCACCTTATAATGTATTATATGATCTCATGAATAATTGTAACCACAGTTATAATACATTATAATGCTTATCTTTTTATTAAATACACCTTTAGAAAGTATAATGCATTAAAACACATGACAAACAACCAATTTCAGATGCAACAAGGAATCTGCTAATATTATAATGCGTTTTAGCTTTAGTTAAAATTATGAAAAGATATAATGCATTATAATGTAGATTATAAATACCTTTTTTAATGCATTATACATAAAGACTTTAAGTAAAGTGTTACATTACCAAATTAACATTTGTGCATAAATGCACACAGCTCTGCTCTTAAAGGGAAAGCACTCTTTAAGAGAAATCTGAATTTCCCATAATCTTACACTGTCTGTGACTTGGAGATATTACTAGCTAGATGATCTAAATATTAAAAAACAATAAATACAGATAAACGTAGGTAACAGTGGATGGCCGTCTTGCACTTGTAATAGTTTTGGAAATTTGAGTTCCATTCAAGTAGAGTGGCTTGCCAAGAAGCAGAGTGAGAGTGAACAAAACGACTAATGAACTGTTGCTCATTTCTCCAAAAGCCACAGTTGGCCAGCCTGTGTGCCACATCCTCAAGAGGACGTCCCATCCCTGCTCACAAACCTCCAGTGCAGCAACACGAGGGTCTCCAGGGGGAGTCTAAGGTGGATCAGACCCACCCGGGCCCCTCTGCACAGGGTCCCGTGGTGGAAGACGGCTCCAGGTCTTCAACGGACAGCCCTTCTCTAGGCAGCACCGGCGAGGCAGGTTAGTCCTTCACTGCAGTGCTTAAGTGCAAGGACAAAGACATCAATTTCTGATGCATGTTAATCTTAGCGCTGCTGGGGCTCAGAGTTGAGCTGACTTTTAACACTGTAATTTAAATACCATAATCAGCTGCACAGTGTGGGGGCTTAGAGACACTTAACATATACTGTGAGCGCCGACTTATTAGCTGATTCATGAGTAGATTATAAGTTGAAGTTGTAAAAAGAAAAATTATAAAGTGATTTTTTCCGCTTTTGCACTGCTTTAACATTTTTCATCAGCTAGATATCACTCCTTGTGAGTCTTTGTGATGAGTAAAAACTCGCCCATAAGCCAGTGGTGATAATATCAGTCTGTCCATTGAAGGTCATACTGTGGATGACTGTAAACACTTAAACTCCAAGGATTCAAACCTGGTACATTCATGGAATTTCCCAGAAAACTATAAAATGATTTTTTAGAAATTATGACTGGAAAGGCCATGGAAAAATCATAGAAATTCAATGGTCAAAAAGTGTGGAAACCCTGGGGTTAAAAATAATTTGATGCATATTTTTAGAATAGCTTCCTTCGGCAATGGTGATATTGCAGGGATATATATGCTAGAGTTTTCTATGTAATTTATTATAATTAAAATGTAATTTTGTAATTTTTTAATAAAATGTGATGGCAAAGCTGAATTGCCACATGACCCTTCAGAAATAATTCTAATATGCTGATTTTGTGCTCAAGAAGCATTTCTCATAGTTATCACTGTTGAAAACAGTTGTGCTGCTTCATTTTTCTTTTTTTTTAGAAACCATGATATATTTTTTCATGATTCTTTAATGAATATAAAGTTCAATTGAACAACATTTGTTCTTTTTCAGCACCATGAGAATTGCGTTTCAAGCTTTTGCGCCCCAGCTGTTTTTTTTAAAGCATAAACATATGCTAAAAATGGCGTCTGAAGTATTCAATTCAATTCAATTCAAATGTATTTGTATAGCGCTTTTCACAATACATATTGTTTCAAAGCAGCTTTACAGAAAGTGCATTTCAGAAATGTACATAGAAAAATACAGTTAGTTAATCATGTATTAATTTAGGGCATAACATATCGCCGGCGTTGAGTCGTCTCTTTACAGGCGTCGAAGTACCTTAATTATGTTTTGACATAGTCAACTAGACTCCGGGGTGTCCAATCCTGTTCCTGGAAATCACCTTCCTGCAAAGTTCAGCTTTAATGCCTGCTACACATTGTATGATTTTGGGCTTTCCTAGACAAAAGATGACCAATCGTGGCGATTTCTGTGGTCATGGCTCCTAAATGGTGGTCCTGCGTCGTACAGTGAGAGAGGTTCAAAGATGGCCATTGTCATGGTCTTACAACCAAAGATAATCCGTGATCCTTTTCTTAGCATGATCATCTCACAGTGTGTTTGCTGCTACGACCTACATCTACTGACTAGTCAATAAAAATGCAACTAGAAATTGCATATTGTTCAAACTTACTTCCCTCAAGCTCCATTTGCAAAGTTGGCGTCTATTCTCTAGCCTTGACCGCATCAATATTGGCTTCCACCTCTTTTTCTTTTTTCAATGCTCATGAAAAAAACACAATTGCCAAAGTGTGATTGATCTTGCTCTATTTGTTTTCCACTAGCGCATGCTGATGACGTGTATTTTGCCTACGATTTAATAGGTGTCATCATCGTACAGTCTGCATACTTGTTGTACCCAAGTTTAATAGATCCATGTCGTACAGTGTGATTAGTAATGATCTTATAGGATTGCCAAAACTGCACAGTCTGAAGCGGGCATAGCCCTGATCAAACACAACTGAACTAGCTAATTACTGAACTCTGCAAGTAGATCTACAGGAAAAGGATTGGGCAAGGATTTAGACAAACCATTAACTAGTCGATTTTGAGAATATCCATCCAAAACATCCTCTAGCCAGACCTAGCACTGTAAAGCACAACAACCAATGCTTTATCTTTTACAGTTTGAACGTAAACTCATTTAAGTCATTGAAGATGACTTAACCAACTGGTTTCTGATGTTTTTCATCGGGGAATGCATCTGTTAATACTCTGAATATTATGTTTAATATCGAACAGATGGCTACACGCATCAGCTTTGCGAAGTCGAAACGCCCCAAGATCCTCACGCACCAGAATTCAGGGCCAGTCATGGAAAGGGAGATTGCAAAGCGGTCGTGTCAGGACTGCTGTGCGGGAAACCCATGAAATGGGAGGTGATCTTTGACATTCAACCCTACCTAAAAGGTCGAGAGCGGGAGGAAAAAGTTCACGAGGACCTGTGGAACGAAACCTTCCATCACCTGGCGGGACGTTCCATTATTCAAGACTTTGAACATATGGTGGACAAAGAGTGTGAGATTGAGCATGGTGAGGAACTTGACTCAGTTATTTAGCTGATGAACTCTTATCATTTGTGGGATGTGAATGTTCAAAACATTACTTGCATATCTGACAAAATACCTCAACTATGCCGTTTCTTGTAGGTTCTGGGAGAAGGTACCAGCTTTATGCTATCCACACGAGTAAAGCCTGCAACATCTTGAGCAAATACACAGCGTTTGTACCTATTGACCTGGACAGCAATGAATATTTACCCACCTGCGTTGAGTATAGCCACCCTGGTAAGTCATTCTTCTAATTCATCTGAGATTACAAGGCCTGGTAGTTGCAATCATTACGTCAAAGATACTGTTCTCAGGAAGAAGAAAACAAAGGAGAGCGCAGGGAAATGAAGCAGTCGCTCCTGGCTTAAACACACAATTAGATTATGGTAATGACTCTTTGTATATCTGTTTATCTCCAGGGGAGGATCATAAACGAAGTTCGCACTGCAGTTCTCGTTCCGGCAGCAGGAAGACCCGTGGCTACTCTGTAGGTCTGGGTCGGTCACAGTCAGGAGGTTTGTCTGAGCAAGATGACGCAGCACTATCCCACAGTAAGACTGAAGACAAAATACTGAATGTTGGGCTCATTTACAAGTGAGAAATTATAGGAACATTATCTGATGTATAAATTGCATGGTTTGATCCTCTGGGATCAAACCATGGAATAGAAAATGTGGTAAAAAGTTATGAAATTTGGCACACTTATTGAATAGTCTCAACTTTTATCATACCCAATTTAGGGACTCTATTTTAAACTCTCTAGTGCAACTAACAGGTCAAAGTTCACATAGATTTTGTTTTATAACTTAAACAGTCATTAGACTTCAGGTCAGATAATCTTGAAAATACACTCACCTAAAGGATTATTAGGAACACCATACTAATACTGTGTTTGACCCCCTTTCGCCTTCAGAACTGCCTTAATTCTACGTGGCATTGATTCAACAAGGTGCTGAAAGCATTCTTTAGAAATGTTGGCCCATATTGATAGGATAGCATCTTGCAGTTGATGGAGATTTGTGGGATGCACATCCAGGGCACGAAGCTCCCATTCCACCACATCCCAAAGATGCTCTATTGGGTTGAGATCTGGTGACTGTGGGGGCCATTTTAGTACAGTGAACTCATTGTCATGTTCAAGAAACCAATTTGAAATGATTCGAGCTTTGTGGCATGGTGCATTATCCTGCTGGAAGTAGCCATCAGAGGATGGGTACATGGTGGCCATAAAGGGATGGACATGGTCAGAAACAATGCTCAGGTAGGCCGTGGCATTTAAACGATGCCCAAGGGGCCTAAAGTGTGCCAAGAAAACATCCCCCACACCATTACACCACCACCACCAGCCGGCACAGTGGTAACAAGGCATGATGGATCCATGTTCTCATTCTGTTTACGCCAAATTCTGACTCTACCATCTGAATGTCTCAACAGAAATCGAGACTCATCAGATCAGGCAACATTTTTCCAGTCTTCAACTGTCCAATTTTGGTGAGCTCTTGCAAATTGTAGCCTCTTTTTCCTATTTGTAGTGGAGATGAGTGGTACCCGGTGGGGTCTTCTGCTGTTGTAGCCCATCCGCCTCAAGGTTGTGCATGTTGTGGCTTCACAAATGCTTTGCTGCATACCTCGGTTGTAACGAGTGGTTATTTCAGTCAAAGTTGCTCTTCTATCAGCTTGAATCAGTCGGCCCATTCTCCTCTGACCTCTGGCATCAACAAGGCCTTTTCGCCCACAGGACTGCCGCATACTGGATGTTTTTCCCTTTTCACACCATTCTTTGTAAACCCTAGAAATGGTTGTGCGTGAAAATCCCAGTAACTGAGCAGATTGTGAAATACTCAGACCGGCCCGTCTGGCACCAACAACCATGCCACGCTCAAAATTGCTTAAATCCCCTTACTTTCCCATTCTGACATTCAGTTTGGAGTTCAGGAGATTGTCTTGACCAGGACCACACCCCTAAATGCATTGAAGCAACTGCCATGTGATTGGTTGATTAGATAATTGCATTAATGAGAAATTGAACAGGTGTTTCTAATATTCCTTTAGGTGAGTCTATATTGGCATTGTGATGAAAAGACTTTTGATATATCAAACTGCTTAATGCATTAACAAATTTGATGTTGAGGATGTAGTTTTCCATTGCTTTGTTCGATTGAAATTAAATTGAATTATTGTCATTGCCACCATGCTGAGGTACCCAAGCAGTTTGTTGACAGGTCAGAAATGTTTAAAAATACTTTGGGATAACTTGGCCTAAAGTCATATATGTCATATCTTGATTGTCTACCATATGCTTTTGGGGATTTTGCACAGATTCACATACTATGTTTTTTTGTACAGTCCTCACTGACACCCTGCCCAATCTTCAGTCATAAAACTGACCAAAAACACCCACAAAGTTGTTGTATGTAGGCAACACTTTTGCATAATGACATGTGTATGTTTGTATGTATGTGTCATGGTTCTGATAAAGTTTGGTCAAAATATACACTATACATTTCAAAAGTAAATAAAAATAAAAAAGTCTGGGGCCAACAAGAAGAAATAATAATGATCAAGGAACCAAAAGTGACTGTAAAGACATTTATAATGTTACACAAGATTTATTTTTCAAATAATAATAATAATGTATGTCTATTCATCAAGAACAAAAATATTACGTGGCACAATGTTTCATGAGCAGCAACTCAACATATTAGAATGATTCCTGAAGGACACTGAAGACTGGAGTAATGATGCTTAAAATTCAACTTTGTATTAAATTACATTTAAGAAAAAATATTCAAATAGAAAAGTTATTTTAAATGATTTTTTAGTTGAACCAGAATTTTGTTTTATATAACCGATCATTACCTGTTAACCAACAAAATGATGTTAAATAAGTTAGAATGGACAAGTGTCCCATTACAAATATCAACATTTGTTTTGTTCAGTTTGTTCGAGGAATAAATATAGTTGTATATTATCAACACAAGATATATATTTCACTTGAATACAGATTAACAAAACGAATGAAAAAACTGTGTGACAAGTAGTAGCCTATACGCCGAGTGTCGATAAATTTTTCTGACGCGCTCCACAAAAGTAAAAGTAAGAAAGTAAACCGAGACTGCAGAAAGCGGCATCCTGTTTGTTTTCTTTATTTTACAAAAGCACAATGTTTTGTTTTCAGTTGTGACTGTACACATATCAAAATAGACCCTTTACAGTTTCAAAAGATGTCTTACTCTGTATGACCATAAATGATGGAGTCTTTTAAGTTGTTTCCGCTGTTATAATGAGACAAAATCATTTGGGATTGTGTTGTGGAAGTCTCACTACAGTCCAGTAATGAAATATTCGTGTCCTACTGCGTTGAACTGCTTGTCCTAAAACTTACAAAGTGCATGTTATTGATATGCATGGCACTGTAGTTGTAAACTGTACTAAAGTCCACATCTTTAGCTCAGACCCATTTACAAATGCACTTAGATTCCTTGGGTCTTTTCAGTCTAAACTCTGACGTCAAAAGGACTCATGTCTGCACCCTAAAACTCTTCTTTGATCTACAGATGTTGACGATGGATCCCGATCCCTCTGCAAAACTCCCTCCGCCTCCAGTTGGGAACGATGTAGCTCTTCTGAAGGTACTTTTTTTCTATCTGGCTGTATTCATGTGGTTATTTCAGTTATTACAGACTTGCAGGTGTCCAAACAAACACAGCAGCATTAATCACTCAAGCTATTAGCTGCTGAATTCATTAATTAGATTTGACCTAGACGAGCATGGGTGAGTTTGAGTGCTCTTTGCCTTGGAGTGCAGTGTAATGTGTTTGTGTGTGTGTTGGGCAATAGAAATTATCAGAATACCAACCTGTTCTCTCTTTTAGCCTCTCAAAGGAGTCCGTCGGTGACCTCCGACCACTCGCAGAGATCAGTCGAGAGCCTTTTCTCTGCCAGGTGGGTGTCGATAGAGGGAACGAATTGGGGAAAAGAGCAAACCACGTCCACAAATCAAGTTTTACAATTACAAACACTGTAATTCACAGAACGCAAATGAATAATTCAGCAGTTTCCATCACTCATGCGTCATTGTTTTAAATCATGAGTCGAATTTGCATTTTGATTGCTTTTGGTATTCTGTTGGGTGCATGTAATGAGTTCAACTCTCACCGAAGACAGACATTCATTAGTCATTAAAAAAATTACAGACAGGAGATGTGTAGACTGACAACACAACACAGTTCTGTCCAGGTATTTAGCCTCTTTTACAAATCATTTCACCATTACAGTTTGATGTGAAGTGCTTTCTTACAATTAAATAAGTCAGTATGAAAATGTATCTTTAGGCAATGAGTGTTTGTTTTATTGACTTCGCTATTCGCAATTTCCTTTTAAAAAATTAGGCTGCTTGAGTTTAAGTGAATGTATGAAGTAAAGTGTGAAAATTAGAGGATATTAGTCACACAAACTCATTTTCAGTTTTAATAAGTTTAAAACGTTGACATCATAGGCAGAGGGTGAATAACCTGCAGGGTGGGGCTCTGGTTGTGATGTCACAATACTGTAGGCTTAGCTCATGAATATTAATTAGGATATGTAAGAAATGGATTTACCTGATCTTTGATAAATAAATAGTTTATGTAATGCACTAATCTTTGATAACTTAATTTGATTTTGACTGGTTCCGCCCTGGATCTTATCTTAATCCAATTCAAATTCCCATGTGTTAAGCAAATAAAACTAATATTTAAGACAAAAGAGGGATGGAACTCCAGACACCAAAATAAACACTTCCCTTTCGTGTCTGGAATCTCTATCCCAGTTTTACCTCTCGCTGTCACTTGAAATGTCAGCCGAAGTAATGACCAAAACGTGAGGAGCGGCGCTATCAGGGATGTGTACATGCTTTGCAAATTAATGAATGTGAAGGGGCACATTTCACCAAGAAAAAGCACTTTAGACGTGCCTGTGCATTTAATGATGATAGTGAGGCACCGGAGTAAAAGGTGTTGTTTCTTTTTGCCTCTAGCAAGCTGAGCCTGAGCAGGACGCGTCTGCTGACGAAGGCGGCCCGGGGCTTCATGAGCCGGTCACACAGCAAATTCAGCAACTCCGTGGGAGAGAGCGAAAATGACAACAAGGACTACATCCCTCTGGTTTCTGTCGACATATTCTGCTTTCAGGATGTTAATCCTCTGTGGCTTCAGTAGAACTTATTTACAGTCAACATGGAATTGAAATTGCCCCCATTTACCTTTTTAATGGATGGTATTATAATATATAACAATTCAACATTAACAAACAATTTATGTTGAAAGGTCAGCATAAACTTATTCCAAAAATGCCTGATGTCATTGAGGGTATTGCATCCACTTGCCTCTATAAATAGCCGGTCAATACTCACCTTGCAAGCAAAGGCAGGAGTTTTTAAGTATAGTGAGTAATAGATCTGGTGACATTTAACAAACACCGATCAATATCTCATGATTGCTAGGTCTGGTTAAATGAGATGTTCTATTTGAGGAGAACATATATGGGTCACGGGAATTACTCAAAGTAAATGGTGATGAGGCGTGACAAAATCAGTAGAGCGTATTTTTGAGGCATAATTAACAAAGACCTTAAACTGCTCCTTGAAGTTCAATCTCTGAGTTTGTTTAACTGATTAAATACTTCCTGTTGCAGGTGTCATTGCAGCTGTCCTGTGGGGCGTTCATGTTGGACAGTGCCTTGTGTGACGCCATCAATGTGCCCATAGACAAGCTAAAGTGGACGTCACCCTTCACCAGCCACAGAATCAGCCTTACCCACGTGTCCTACTCCGGGTCCCGGCGCTCTGAGAGCCTGGAGGTCCACCGCGGCTCCTCGCCTCCTCCAAAAGACTCAGACTTGAACTCTGAATGTGAGGAGCTCGCTTCCCGCACGTCCTCGTCCTCTTTCCAGGCCCGAAGCCCTCGGATGGAGGGCGAGCCCTCGCTGCTGGCCGGCTTCTCGTCTATGTCGACCGAAGCCCCACCGTCGCCCATCAACTCATTGTGCGACAGCGGGCGAGGGTCTGAGTCTGAAATGATAGGGACGCCCCTGTCTGGCTCGCCCGGGAGCCTGCGAAGGGCTGTGCAAGACACCGAGGGGATGGTGTGGGCCACTGCTGTAGCTCTGGCCTGGCTGGAACACAGTTCAGCCAGTTATTTCATCGAGTGGGAGCTGATCGCGGCCAAAGCAAGCATGTGGCTAAATGAACAGATCATCCCAGAGGGCCGAGACCTGGCATCGGTCAAAGCCGCAGCCAATCAACTCTTCATCATCCTCAGACACTGGGATGAAAACCTGCAGCTCAACATGCTCTGCTACAACCCCAACAGCATGTGAGTCCTTATGGGGTAGGGACTAAACTTCAAACTATGCCAAACGAGGATTTTACTCCCCTTGATTTGTTTAAATGTTTATCGTGTGGGTTTTGTTTTAGTTTTATGAATAGAAATCGTATTTCATTACCATCCATCCAGAGGCCAGAAACATACTTTGCACAGATATGTAGGCGACAATTAATGTAACTTGCGTTCTTGCGTTACTGTGGCAGCAACAAACCTGTAGAAGACTGTATCCACCTAAGAGAAAAGCCCAGTTCACAGCGACAAAGCAACATGATCCCATTCATTTCAATGGAGAGCTGGCAGTTTCCGGCGACACCGTTGGCGACAGGATGTATGCGTGTCCAGCGACAAGACATAGTTGAGATATGTTTAACTTAATGCCAATTAAGAGCGACTTTCAAGAGCGACGACCAATAGGAGTGAAGCCAGTGGAGTAGGGCTGCTCGAAAATCATAATCACAACTATTTTGGTCAATTTTGAAATCAGGATTATTGGTGGGTGATATGATCAAAGTCTTATTTCATGACTTACAGTCATTTTAAAGGGATAGTTCACTTTGAAATTAATTTTTGATATGTTTTAGCTTACCTCAAGGGCATCCAAGATGTAGGTGTCTTTGTTTCCGCAGAAGTTTCAATTTTGATATTTTTAGGTCAGACCGTTCTTGTCTGTCAGTCATATAATGCAGGTCTATGGTCACCACCTCAAAGAGCATGCACAGAGAAGTCCAAGTTAAACATGATTTTAATGACTCGTAAATGTAAGTACACATTGATGGCCTAAGACACGAAATGAGCGGTTTGTGTGAGAAAACGAACAGGATTTATATCGTTTTTACCTCTTGTAACCACAGCCACGTCCAAGTGATCTGAGGGCGCGGGCGCTTCGGTCTGTGCGTTACAAGAGGTAAAAACGTTACAAAGTGAACTATCCCTTTAAATATCAGTGAAATTTCACAATTATCGATACTTCAGCTAAAACTAATACTAGGTTAACTATAATGTAAGTAAAAGGTCCTCAAAACAGTTAAAGACAAGTAAACAGTCAGCAACACAATAAAAACAAAGAAACTGATCCCCCCAAAAAACTGACAAAAAATGCAAATTAAATCAACTTTGCTTTAGGTGTTTTAGGAAGATGTACTAACAGTTGAATTCAAATAAGTAATGGCCTACAAAAGAAACTGAATAAAGTAATCAAATGCTACACTGCTGTGTTATGTCTCTGTGTACATTCCCAAATAACTGTGTGAACTCAGATAGACCGGTGCTTGTGCTTTCACAGAGTACTTGCTGTTTCTCGTTCATCTTTATTATTAAGCATTTTGTGTACTGATTCCTACGGAGCCCCCCCTAGTCCCACTTTGTCAAAAAAATGTATTATAACTATCTCGTGGCCTCAAGATAAGTAACTCATGGCCTCAAGATAGTAACTCGTGGCCTCAAGATAGTAACTCGTGGCCTCAAGATAGTAACTCGTGGCCTCAAGATAGTAACTCGTGGCCTCAAGATAGTAACTCGTGGCCTCAAGATAGTATCTCAAGATTTGAGGCCACGAGAGAGTTACTATCTTGAGGCCACGAGTTACTATCTTGAGGCCACGAGTTACTATCTTGAGGCCACGAGTTACTATCTTGAGGCCACGAGTTACTATCTTGAGGCCACGAGTTACTATCTTGAGGCCACGAGATACTATCTTGAGGCCACGAGTTACTATCTTGAGGCCACGAGTTACTATCTTGAGGCCACGAGTTACTATCTTGAGGCCACGAGATACTATCTTGAGGCCACGAGTTACTATCTTGAGGCCACGAGATACTATCTTGAGGCCACGAGTTACTATCTTGAGGCCACGAGTTACTATCTTGAGGCCACTAGTTACTTATCTTGAGGCCACGAGATAGTTATAATAATTTTTTTTGACAAAGTGGGACTAGGGGGGCTCCGTAGATTCCATTTATATTAAGTCCTTTCCCTCCAAAATATTTGTGTTTTTAGTGCCAACTGATTTTTTGTCTACAACATGGAATAACATCCGATTAATCCGTAATTCAATCGCAGCACTATCGAAAAGAAGTTAAGGGAGTAGTAAATAGCTGTTATGGCAATGTTGGCAATGCAACCCATTCTTGTTGAATTCTGAATTGACACATTTCAAAACTGTGAAACCGAGTTTGCATGCTGTAGCTAAAAGTGTTTGCGGTCACATATTTGCGTAGAGTATATTCCGGGCCGTCACCAACCCAAAATATTTGCATGTCTCCGCATTTCTTGTCCGTAAAATGGAGAGATTGGTTGTATTTTTAAGCTTGTCTCTGAAATAATAATGTGCATTTGGTTTAATGAACTGTCTGGTTGCTGCTTTGGAAGATTTTGTACCATAAACATTTAATCGTACAAAGCCTTATAGTGACTTTGGTTCATTAGTTGATGTGGTTGAGTCTGTACATGTGGCATTCCAGGCTGTTTTTGCTATCTGAGGATCCAGTCACTTGATAAGATGCAGTGTATAACAACATACAATGTACATTAGTTTGCCTTTACGATCATTAAAGATGTCAAACCGTGGCTGGAACGACACTTTCTATTGCTGTAAGCGCTCTCCAGTCTTAAGTGCCTAACCCTGGACTGTTTCTGGACTGTTGACATGAACGTTGTACTTTGCTGATTATATTTATGGCTGTGTATGTATTATTATAGTATTTTTTGACGTCAGTTGAAAAATTTTACAGAATAAGTATAATAGAGTGACTGTAAATATAGCCTATGTTAGAAAAAGTAGCCAATAAGAAAATACAAAAGCTAACATTCTCTTGTTATATGGTAGCGGTTTATTTTATTATTATATGTATTACTCCTCCTCAGGTATTGCTCTTGAGTACTGTTGTCGATGTAGACGCATGAGTGGTTTGTGGAAAGATCTTTCATCTCAAGGTTCTTTACTGATTTAAACCTCTCCCATGCGCTTGTGACGGTGGCAGCTGCTTTGTGAAAAGTGCATTGCGTCAATCAAGTGTACTTTGTACTTAAGTGTGGAGTTCTGTTTAAGTTGTGCGTGAATTCTAGTGCAAGTCTGGACTGTGTAACTGCATGCAATAAAGTTTATTGGATGAAAAAAGGGGTCTCATTTTGCCATCACTATTTCCACTAAAATGCAAAATATTCAAAACATAACATTGCAGGATTTCTGGCTGCGTTCACACGACAGTACGAAGGCCCATTTCCGTCACGTATGGGGGAAAAAACATGCTTTTGTAAATCATAATTACCGATAATTATGACTTATTGTCATCATTGAAACTTTCTCATGAGTCTAACCTTTTATGTCATAATTATAACTTAATGCATTTTGACTTTTTATGTCACAATTATGAGTTGTTAGGTCATAATTATAACTTTTTAAGTCATAATTTTGTCAATTATGCCTTTCTAGTTCAGAATTTCAACTTTAATGTCATTTTTATTACTTTAATTTCAACTTTTTCTCGAGTATATGACTTAGTATATCATAATTTCAACTTTTTTGGTCATAATTTTTAAAAAAAATGTATTATTTTGACTGTCAATTTCAATGAAATTACTTAATTATGGCCTTTTCTGAAGTCCTAATTATGTCTTTTTAATATAAACTTTTCACCTCATAATTGACTTAGTATGTCATAATTCTGACATCACAATTATGACTTTTTAGGTCATATATTTTACTTTTTAATGTTATAATTTCGACTTATGTCATGGATGTGACTTTGTATGTCATAATTATGACTTTTTATGTCAATTTCCCAAAGCAGGATTTTTTTCTTAAGTGGCAGAAATGGGCTTCCATAGTATGTATTGTCCATTCACAGAGAGCTTTTTTTCCTTTTTTTGTTGTGCCTCTAACCTCACCAAAGGCAATACATTTAGCAGCCAGTAGATGTTGCACCACACTTTCAAAATCAAGAAAGAAAGGGTGCCGTTTTTGTCAGAATGCCACATTTACAAACCGTACGACAGCTTGTTTCTACTCTGTCTCTCTCTCTCTCTCTCTCAAAAATGCCTTGTATAGTTTAAGCTTATTAGTCAGGCATTCATCAGGGAATTAAACTGCAGTCATCATATTTGTGTAACTCAAAACAATGAAATCTAGCGTCTCTTTGTTCCTCGTGAAATCTCTCTCTTTTATGAGTCATGCTAATGTCTGTCCTGCAGCAGACGCCACGCTTTCATTATATCAGTTGCCACTCAGTGGGGTAACAATGGCTTCAGGCACAAAGTCAGCATCAAAAAGAGGACAATGATAGTATGCTTTTGATGATGCTATAATGCACGATTACAAGAAAGAAAGACGGTGCAAAAGTTGAGAGGGCTGCTAATTAGGGTTATTTAAAAAAAATACCAGAACCAAATGGTTTTCATGACATTACCGATAAGAGTTCTTGAACGTCTGCATGTTTGCACTGTGCTAAAATACTCTGCCAGTGTTTCTTGGAATCAGCAGTACAGTGAATCTATGGTGACGCAGCACAAGAAATTGTTTTATGCCCAACAATATGTCTAAGATTATATTTTAAATGCTTAGTTTTAAGATTAAACCTCTGTAGTTTTTTATTTGTGGGGGACAAAACATAATTTGATACTTGTATTTTAACATGATTTTTTCTAAAAAATGATCTATGAATATAATCAACTAAACCGAAGTTGCTTCAGTCCAGTAAATGTTTATCTTGAAATATTAACAATAATTTAAAAGTTATTCTTATGTTGACTTAACATTTCACAGCAAAAACATGCCACATGTTCCACGACCTTTTTAGTTACTAAAAGGCCTTGCTTAAAAAGTATGAACTGTCAATCAAATGACAGAAGGCATGAAGGCATGTAGTAGATTGTGTATAAAAGGTTAAACTAATTTGCACAAAAGGTTCTTAATAGTGGGAAAAGGTTCTTCAGATTATTAAAATGTTCTTCACACTTCTAAGAAATGATCAGTGAAAGGATGGAGAACCAAAAATGGTTCTTGTGGCATCAGTGTGAAAACTCCTTTTTGGAACCTTAAGGAATTTTATGAGATATATTCATAAATGAGAAATGACATACCAATGCACAATTCTTTGTGGTCAAGGCTGTTTGTTTCTTGCAGCGTTTATGGTTTTCTCTCAGCCTTGCATTCACAATCATAATGGGTTTTCATTAGCGTGTATTCTAGAATAGTCTACAGACATTAGCATAATTAAATTTCCTCGGTCCTCACGCACAACCAACTACAGGTCTCATTACATGACGCAGCAGGTTTGAGACGCTGCGAAAATACCCTGTAGGGGGACAACATACTGAGAAAAGGGGAATAT